GGGGCCCCGGCATGGAGGGCGGGCTCGGGGCCCCCGAATTCGTTGGCCGGTGCGGAAAGGGCTCCTCCTGGAGGGGGCTCCGACGCTCGGAGACCTCTCACTCTGGGGTCCTGTCTCCCGGGGTCCCCGCGCCGGCAGACCCGGGCAGCCAGCGCGTGACGGGGTCCCACGTCGGGAGACCCGTTTCTCGGGGTTCGGGGGGTCTCGAGAGCCCCCGTTGAGGGGTCCGGTGTCCGGCGACGACCCTATGGCGGGGCCTGCCTCCCGGGGGCCCTTTTGCTGGGACCGCAGGGTGCAGGCCTTCCCTGCCCGCCCCTCGTGCGTGCACTTGCCCTCTAAGGGCTGCCCACACCGAGGGGTTCCCAGGTTCTGCCCTGGAGGGGGCCAGGTGGACCTCTTGCCTCTCCGAGCAGAGCCTGTGTCGGGCGCCCCCCCGGAAGGTGGGGCGCCCCGGGAAGATGTGCCGCGGGCTCCCCTGTACCAGTGGGTGCTGGGGAGGGTTGGATCAGAGAAGGCGGGGTCCGAGCAGAGGAAAACCAAAGACGCGAGTGTCAGTAGTTTTTAATCCAATTAATTCATTGTTATTATTCAATTTGACCACAGAGAGAGTGAGAAAGCAAGGTGCCAGGTCCAGGACTCGAACCGCAGTCGGCCCTGTGGGAGTCCAGCACTGTCACCACCATACCACCTGCCCGCCTGGGTGTCAGTGCTTTACTCGAGCGAAGAGACCAGAGGCTGGGAGACCCTTGCCTCACTTCAGGCCTCCCCTGGAGCCCTCCAGCCTCTGCTCTCTCCACTTTACGTGGCTGGCCAGCTGCCTTGGCCACAGGCTTCGACTCCCAGGAGCTGAGGTCTCTGGGGACAAGGTGGCAGTGCAGAGTCCTCTCCAGGGTCTGGCGGGAGGCAGGCTCCTGGGGCCCGTCCACCCTTGGGGCAAGTGACTGTTCATTTGCGCAGGACAAGACGCGGCGTTTCCGTGGTCCCTGGCGGCCTGCCAGCGCACACACTCCTGCGTCTGTGGTCTCTGGCAAGGTGTCACTCTTTGAAGTCCACCTGTGCTTACCCGGCTGCACCTCCCTCGTTAAGCCCAGGCTGACGCCAGCGGGGACGCCAACACAGGCCGCCCGGCTGCCATAACCAGCACGGCACCGCCCAGGTGCCCGGCTGGTTGAGGGCGGGAGGGCTCCCTGCTGCCAGCCTCTTCCGTGTCACCTCGTTCCACTTCATCCGTTCCACACGGCGTTTGTGGTCCAGAGCCAAGTCGGGCTCGCTCGTACCTTCACCCTGTTCCCGAGCGAGGTGCTTCATGTGCCTCTGCGTCCTTCCCCGTAGGACGGGGACAGTCCTCGTCCCTACCACATAGGGACCAGGAGGCAGTGAGTTAACGACTGCCTCGGTCTCGCCACGTGCTACGGAAGGGCCAGCTGTCACCGTGGCTGCGTACCTACTGTGTGCCGCCCATCAGCTATGTGCGGGGATCCCGCCTCAGCCGAGAGAGATGTGGCCTCTGCCTTCCGAGTCCCACCCTAGGGAGGGATGAGACCAGCTGTGAGCGACCGAGCCACCCAGTATGACGCCTGGTGGCCATGAATGCTTGGAAGAGACCCAAAGCAGGATCGACCGAGCCACCCAGTATGACGCCTGGTGGCTGTGAATACTTGGAAGAGACCCAAAGCAGGACGAGAAGGATGGCAGAGTAGCACTATGGGTAGTGAATCTGGGAAGGCTTCCGTGAGGAAGCGAGAGGATGAGCCCTGAGGCCTTTTGGGAAGCGTGTCCTCCTGGACAGAACAGCAGGTGCGAAGGCCCCGAGGCAGGGCTGGGCCTGGCATGTTGGAGCAGGGTGAGGTGGAGAGGGAGGAGGGGAGGGCAGGTAGGGGACGGGGCAGGTGGTACGGGGCCTTCGGGACCGGCAAGGAGATCGGAGTAAGGAGCACAGGAGGACCAGGGTGTGGCACCCAGTTTATGCAGTGGCGAGGTCCCCGAGTCAGCTACCCCCGCCGTGGGACAAGCTGCCCCGTGAATCGCCGCAGTAAACACTCGGGAGGTGCTTGTGGGGCTGTGATCCGGCCTGGTCTCTGACGGGCTGCGGTGGTGACACAGGCTGGGGCCAGAGGAGCTGTCCCCAGCCGGCTTCCCTCCCGGCTATTGGTGGGAGGCCTCGGTTCCTCCCCACGAGGGTCCCCGTGTGGAGCTGCTCGCGGGCCTTCACAGCTTGGCCGCTGGCTTCCCCAGAGAAGGCCAGGAGGGAGCCACTGCCTTCTGTGCCCGGCCCTCAGTCCCGCTGTCACTTTCCCGGTCGCTGCACAGCTCCGCCTGTTTACTGGGGAGGGGATGTGCCGGGGCGCGAGTTCCAGAACAAGGGGCCATCGGGGCTGCCTCGGGGCCAGCTGCCCATCAGGAGGCCCAGAGACGGCCCGGAGCTGAGGGAAGGCTGCACAGCAGGGCGGCGGGGTCTGGCTGGACTCAGCCCCGATGCCCAGACTGGCCACTGGGTGGGAACCCACCGCCTGGTCCTGTGACCCAGTCCGTGGGCTGGTGACGGCACCTCTAACCCGGCTCGTTGTTCCACCCAGGTTCTCTACACCCGAGTCCCAGGCGTAGCCCAAGCGGGGCTGCAGAAAGCCCGGCCACCAGCAGGAGGCAGCGGCAGGCACCATGGTGACGGAGCAGGAGGTGGAGGCCATCGGGCAGACACTGGTGGACCCTGGGCAGCCCCTGCAGGCCCGCTTCCGGGCGCTCTTCACGCTGCGGGGGCTGGGCGGCCCGGGCCCCATCTCCTGGATCAGCCGGGCCTTCGGCGACGACTCCGCCCTGCTCAAACATGAGCTGGCCTACTGCCTGGGCCAGATGCAGGACCCGCGGGCCATCCCCGTGCTGGTGGGCGTGCTGCAGGACAGCCGCCAGGAGCCCATGGTGCGCCACGAGGCAGGTGAGTGACCCTGGCCTACGTCCCGGGCCTCTGCTGTCACTCGGGCGCCGGCGACCTGCATCCTGGCTGCCACCTTTCCCGAGACCGTCAGGCGTGCGCGTCGGGGCCAGCGGGGATGTGGAGGTGTCTGGCTCGCGTGTGCGTGCACCCCCAAGGGAGAACGGCGGGGCTGGCCGGTTTCTCCCCAGTGAGCCCACATGCCCTACTGCAGTTTTTAAGAATGTACGTTATGTGTGGATTTCATAGAAGGTTTTTGTTTTGTTTTAAATTGTATTTCCCAGAGGAAAATAGCTGGGAAAAAATCACCTCCCCACGGAGCGTGGTCACCCCACAATTTCTCCTCCTCTATCCCATTGGCATTGGAGCACGCATGTGCGTGCCCTCAGCTTTCTGGGGGTGGGCCGGGAATTGACCCCAGGCCTCCCATGGCAGCCAGTGCGCGGCCCCGTGGCGGGGCCCGGGCACGTCCAGTATTCCCTCCTGTGTCCCCAGCTGTGCTGCGCGGCCCTTGCCAAGCGCTGCAGCACGTCGGGCAGTGCGAGGACAGGGAGGCGGGGCGGAGGCCCGTGGTCAGTACGCGGACCTGAATGAGCCCGGGGAGCGTCCCTGGGTAGATGTCCAGTGGAGGGGTCCGGGCTGTGCGGGGTCGGGGGGCTTTTACTCGAAGGCAGGTGGGCGCCAGGAGGGCTGTGGGCAGGGGAGGGCTGGGCCCTGACTCAGGTTCTGGTCCCTTGGAGTTTTCTGAAGGAGCCCACCTGAGCCAGCTGCAGTGGTTCCCCCCACCCCATATGTGCCCCCAGGACAGGGTCAACCACCCCAGGTGGCCCCCCAGGCTCTGCCGCACCTGACCCCTCTGGCAGCCTCCACGCCCCTCACACCAGCCTCAGCGTCTTG